TACTACTAGGAGCATTCTTGCTACTAGTAACACGAAGCTACTAGTAAAGAAACGATACTCCTCAATTGGATTTGATGCGGCCCAGTGGTCGATGTGGAGTCGTCAAGTCCACAGTCAAAGGCCTTCAACCTGTCCACGCGAACACACTTGTCCCGCAGAATCCGGAACAAGTAGTCCTCACATGTGAAGCCACTTTCGCGTCAAACCTATTGGCCTACCATGGCCTACTGCCAAACAACTAATGACAAGCAGAAGTGCGTGCTACACCTTGCGCAAGCCAAGGCTCGACACAAGCAGGCAGCCTCAACTTGCTGGACACAAGGTGATACCTAGTAGCTTCTTGTTACTAGTGGCGATGCCAAGAGCCCCTAGTAGCTGTGAAATTGTTCCAAGGCACATCGGGACTTTCGAAATATCCACCTGGTTAAATGCAGCACTGCCGACCTTGGCGGACCAGGTCGGAGTGTCATGTGCAATGTGAGGATCAGGTACAAGTGTTGTAGTTGTGCCAGTTTTCATGAGAAAAAATACGAAAAAAAAATCCTTTTCAGAGCTTACAGTGTCAGTGTTTTCATGACATTTCATCCGGTTCAGCTAGCTAGCTAAGGCTGCCAAGGCTCCGGGTGTGGCTCCAAGGCTTGCCGCATCTTCTCGCAGAAGAGTTCCCCTTTCGGCGGCTCGTCTTTGAAAGCCGCCTTGTTTGGTGAGAACGACAAGGTGGTTAGACAATGCAGGTGTCAACGCTTGCAACAAACAAATGGAAACGCAATCGGAAAACACAAACGTAAACGCAATGCAAAAACCTCGCGCAGCATGTGCATTTGCTGCATCCAATATGTCCAAGCTGCATCTCCTCGCCACGGTAAGCCAGAGATGAAACTTCTTGGAAGCCCATCAGCCGCCAAAGAGGATGTCATGCCATCCGGCGACCAGCGATGATGAAAAGCGTAACAAACTCTTTATAAATAACAAACTCTTTATACAATATAGCCTCCAACCTATACTAATAAACTGGATTTGCCTTCAAAATCCCGGTCGGGGAGTAGTTATGTGTGCCACTGTGCAACAGAAAGGGTGGCAGTAAGGGCCAAGACCATTTGTGCAGGTTGGACTTGCACAGGAGCAGCCCAGGGTAGACAAGTCTCCTGTGAAGTGCAACACCTGTACTTTTGTATATTAAAAGTTCGTTGCGGAAGCCGCATGTTTGAGCCTGAGCCTAGAGAAAACGTACTGATCATACTGTAGAAAAGCGACACCAGCCAAGCATAGCAGACTGATCAGACCACACACAGAAACAAATCCACTGCATCCTTGCATCATCATTGAGTCAGTGTGTTGACGATGACGCGCCTCGAGGGCATCTGGGGATCACGCGACATGCTCCCCGTGCCGCCCGCTCCGACACAGACTGTCCTTGCCACTGTCTAGATGGCACCTTTTGACATATTGGCTGTATAAGTGAACATGTTTCTTCCAACGCATCTCAGGTTGCCCGTGGCTCGGGAAAAGCTTGGGGAACTGAGGGCTACAAAGCTGGGTTCGTGGGTATTGAAGCAAATGGTCCCACTCTAGTGGGCTGTGAGCACCATTGTGCTGCGAAACGAGATGCATCTCACATAAATTCCAGCAATGCGTTGCAGCAAAGGCTTTCCTCGAGGCGCACGTGAGCACAGTCCCGTCCCTCCAAGACAAGGCTGCTCAGCTCCTTTCCCCACATCATGGGGTCAAAACGCTCTCTTGGCGTATCCACTAGCATCGCAGCGTTTAGAGTTGGAACGTGGAACCGGCATCAGAAGCCCAGCCTTCAGTGCAAGCATCTTTCGTCAAAAAAAACTCCAGGAGTGCTGGGCCCATGACTCTTTCGGATCGAAGGGAAGTTTCCGACTGCGCAGGGTGGAAATCAGTGCAAAAGCCTTCAAACTACTGGAACAGCCTATCGCAATATGCATTGGTTCCGATTGTTTTCTGCATCTGTAACGCCAATTGGCCCACTGGTAGGAGAAGTCTACTGAGAGTTCCCCACTTATAGGGTCGATGCCTACTCAGACGTGAGCTGGCGGTTTTGAGATTTGCCTGGAGTCTGCTCAGCCCCAGCCCTCTTTCAGGCAGCTGTGGCGGCCACAACATCGGCACATCTAATATATATATCTAATGAATCAGTGAAGCAAACAGAATGTATTGGCAGGGATTTGTCATGATGGTATGTTGTCGCTGCACTGTAGCCACTGCAGGCCTCGGCACCAAGTTCCAACGCTGGCTTGCACAGACTCAGGTGAACTCCATGGCAAATATTTGGCAACATCTGCAGCATTTAGCCCAATCGGACGTGAAATTTTTGTTCCGCTTCGTGTGGCGAAGGTTTGCTGGTTTGCCAGCGCCTCGGCCGCGTGTCAGGAGAGAGCCTTTGTAGCTCCAAGACGCTCAGCCCAAAGCCTCTGATGTTGAAGGGTCTTTTGACCCGACTAGAAGACCACGATGAGACGATTGAGTGGTTCACTCGCACATCAACGGTTGAAAGATCAGTGCAGCACCTCGTCAGCAATTCCTGCAAAGTGGCAAGCAACAACAACAACAATCATAACGAGGACGGGGACAGGGCACAAACAAATCATCTTCTTGCTGTCTTTCCAATGGGGTGGAAACTAAGACTGGAGACCCCTTGTTGCTTCCTGAGCCCTCCCCGAACACAACAAATTTCAACAAACCAACAAGTTCCTGTACTACAACTGGCTGTGGTGGCACTAGCAGCAACAGTCTAAATAGATCTAAATAATAATCACGTTAGCCGATGTTAGCCGTCATCCTCATTGTCTTCGTCGTTGTCGTCCTGCTGGTAGTCGTGGCAGTAGCACTAGCAGCAGCAGCAGCAGCAGCAGTAGTAGTAGTAGCAGTAGCAGCAGCAACAGCAGCAGCAGGAGTAGTTGGTAGTAGTGTAGCAGCAGCAGCTGTAGTAGTAGCAGCAGCAGGAGTAGGTAGTAGTAGTAGCCGTCGTCGTCGTCGTCGTCGTCCGCGTCCTAGCAGCACTCGTAGTCGCAGTCGCAGTTGCAGTCGTAGTCGTATAGTCGCCGTCGTCGTCGTCGTCATCATCATCATCGTCGTCGTCGTCTCAGTAGTAGAGCGGAGGGCATGGGGCTTGCGTTTTTCCAGCGCTTTCAAAATGACAGGCGTTGCTCTGACAAAGTCCATGTGTGAACTGGCACACTTTCTACAGGCGGACAGATGTTGTATGTGTAGCTGTAAGGAAGAGAGGTAGCTGAAGGACCAATCTTGCAGGGCACATGTCAACAGGTATTGATGATAAACCAAATGGCGGAGCATGGATACCCTGCGTTGCACAGAGCGGTCTTGGAAGATGACGCAAAGCAGTGTGGATGGCGATGTACCATCTTGGATAGACCAAACACTCCGTACACGACAGCCCCAGCATCATCATTGCGGCCACATGTCACACGCATTCTTCATATTGTCATATCTGACTCCACACACGCGCCGCAACGCCGAACCACAGCCGCAATGGTATTTCTTCAGGAGTTGCGCAAACCGGCTTAGACATGACTCCTGCTCTGCCAACACAACTCTGATGCCACGGAAGGCAAGAAATGGGAAACCATCTGGAGGGGCTCGTTGGAGGATGTGGGGCGGAGACGATTGCTTCAGGCAAATCCCGTTGCAAACTTTCACGCTTAACACGCTCAGGGTTGGGACTCAGTCGGCTGTGGAGAAACTGTGTCTAGCTCAATGGCGTGGCAGGAAGCTGGTTGAAGATGTTGAAAGTCTGGAGGATCCTGCTTGGTGGCATCCGTGAATGACCGTGTTGGGGTGCCGAAAGCATCTGACAAGCAGGCTGTGAGCTCGCTAACGCTATCTCTCCCATGTCACTTTTTCTTCGGGCTTGTCCGGCGCGCAGGCGGCAGCAAGAACATAAACTCTTTGGTTTAGAGCACGCCATAGAATCCACTGCGGAAATGCCACCTGGCCAGCCCTCTTGGGCCATGTTCCTCAATGGTGGTTTCTTAGACACCGACAGCGTTGAAGACATTCACTTCTTGATCAACTCACCGCCTACACGTTCCATCATCAGAAAGGGGTCGTGGGTTGGGCGGGCGGTCTTCCCAATCAAGGTACGGAGAACCTTGACTGCAACGACGTTGGCAGACAGCATCTCTGCCAACATGGCCGTGACCTCATGTCCAGGACCTCTGCAATCACTCTGTCACTCTGGGCTTCCAGTTGCACGCCAATCCAAGTGAGTTTCTTGGCCAGGCCAGCGTTGCCTTGCGAAAGGCTAAAGAGAAGCCCATCTTTTGCCTTGCGTCCAAATTCTGAAAAAGTTGCCAGAGGTATCGAAGGAGCTGCTGAACGTCAGAGAGGTGAGTAAGCTGAGGGAAAACAACCTGTAGTAGGCAGAAGATGGCAGAAGCCACGGTCTGGCTGAGCGGATCCCGAGTTGGCTTTGGCAAAATGTAGGCCGAAGGGAGACGTCTCGAAGTCGAGCTTTGATCAAGAGAATGCCTTGCCGAAGAGGTTGGAAAACCGGTGTAGTAGTGAAAGGAGAAGGTAGGAAAGTTTTCCTGAGTAGATGATGGTAATGGAGCGGGCAAGAAAGAACAGCAGCAAGCAGGTCGTGATGAGGCGGTAGAAAGGAGCTTTGTTGATGTAGTTGCCATTGTCGCCGAAAGAAACCTTGCCAATCAAGCTGAAGGTGAGAGGGAAGGTGCCAAGAACGGAACCACTTCTCAAGCTGTGACGGAATGATTGAGAAACTGACGTCGTGGGATCAGCCAGAACGCAGCCACGATGCCCTGTCCAGCAAAGCAGACGTCACTGCGTCCGTGACCCTCGGCAGAACGCTTGCGCTCTTGTAGATTGTCTGCCCCGTATCTGGGTTGCACTTCCGCTCCTTAACGCAGGCCAGCTTCAACAGTAATTACAGGCTCCCTCTCCAAATGGTTCTTCAGCTCCTCCAGTGACTCGAACCTTAGAATTGTTAGAACGTATCCTTTGTCTCGATAACCTTCCACAATGGCCAAAGCATCCTCAACACCGACAAACATGCTCAAGTCTGCACCTCACGTCTCCTTGGTAGATCACACTCCAGACCCTTTCCCCATATGTGGCATGGATCCTTTCGATCAGATTGCGGCACCTCAAAAGATTTCCAAGGTCCACCGTCTCCAACATCACCAGCAGGACTGTGTACGAAGACAGCCACAGTGCAAATTTGCTGGTTGAACGAACTCTTGAGTTCCAATTGCCCCGTCTCTGCCCAGGATGATCCCTGACAGCTTCACTTTCTTCATGATCCCCCGCCCATATGCCCCAAAGATCGTAACGTGTAAGGCACTGCTCCTTCATTGAACAAGTGGATGTCGCGAAGGCTTTAACCATTTCCGTCTCCTCCGCGAGCAGCACTTCTGTGTCATCCACTTGCGAGGTCACAGAGCTGAGTTTGATCTTCCTGACTGCTGTGGATGACATCGCCGGCGGCGCTGTCCCGCTCCCGCCTTGGAAACTGATGGTGTTTTTGGAACCCCTTCGATTGTCTGACCAACGAGCTTGCCTGCGCCAATCTCAGTGAGGGTTGGTAAGCGAGGTTTTCCTGCGTTCGGGACCTTCCATGACTGGCGTGGAATGTCCACTTCTCCTTCACTGTGTATGCTGAGGACCAGATGGGCAAGTGATCCTGCCAGGCGCGTTCATTAGCCATCTGGGACTCATCCAGTCCGACGAACTTGAAAACGTCTTTCATGGCGAGCAGGGTTTTCAACACGCCTAGGAATCCTCAGTGGGATCCGGGGCTCGTCACCTTGAATCACCACCTGGCCCCTCGACTGTCACAGCACTCGATGAAGTAAATCCTAGCTGCGGTGGGGGTGATCAGGATCAATGCCAGTAGGCAAGCCAGCAAATGGCTCGA